TATTTATCAGACCACCTTCATTACATCTCACTTTGGGTGTGCTAAATCTACATATGAAAGAGGACATTGAAAGTGCTGTACGATTGCTTAAAAGTTTAAGCGCAGAGATTTATGACTTGGTAGGCACACAATCTGTAGTTGCCAAGATGCTAGGAATAGCAATCATGGAAAATGACCCTGGTAAAGAACTTTGAAATTTAACTTTATTATTTCACAATGCTGTAATTATATATTAACTTTTACTAACATGCCATTCGATTTCTAGAGAAAGCGAATGTTCTATATGCAAAGGTAGATGAGTCTGAAGGTCGAGACGTTATTATTAAAATAGCAGGTGCGTTAACATATATATAAATAGGTTGATATTTATGCGCGTACCTGACATGTTTGATTCAATTTAATTTTCATATTATTCAATAGAATTTTTAACAACCAAGTTCACGGAAGCAGGTTACATGAAGAAGGAAAATCGTCCATTCAAGGTTTTTACAAATTCATCAATATTTCTATATCACATTTATTTCATAAGTAACTTACCGTGCATACAAAACATCTTTAACGCGCTCATTTATAGCTTCATGCAACATTAATAAACACTAGTCACCGAAAGTTCGCAAGTAAGGATAAATATAAACGGAATCGTCGAATACCATTTTCTGCCATCCAAATTCTTAATAAATACGCAGATTTTGAATATGGAACAAGTAAGATTGAAAAAATTCATATTTCAAAAATTGGTGCTCACGATGAAAGTGGGATGCATAGGAGCGAAGGACATATCAATTTGCCATAGTGGAAATACCCAATGTTATATTAATTCATTTTCCATGTTACTCTTGGAATGAGTACCATCAGTCACTGCTTATAGTACCCGGATCTTATTCAAGAACTCCATTTTTAAGATTGAATGGTACCCTTAGGTACTTGGCTAAGAATCGGGTACTATATTCTAGATATATCACCAGACCTTATTCAATAAATAAGCTGGTATGGATGATGAGTAATATCTTGGGTTTTAATCATGTGTGTATTATTTTCGGGACTTAAAGTAGTGTCCAATAATTAGATCTAATCATTTGACACAAATTACGAAACCGAAAGATTTAATTTTAGTGAATAATAAATAATAGATTCAAAATACTGTATTAAATTTAAAATGTTATTTACTACTAACGCTTGTGATAACTTATATATAATTAAATAAGACTTTTTATTAGTTAAATTTTTTATGATATGGACATATTTTCCGACAACGTATTTTTTTTCTATGAAAACACGTACTAGTATCCATGTAATTTTTATCATGCATGTGAATAATTTTGGTAAAAATTTTTATAAGGGTGACATTAAGAATATCTATTAGTGCTGGCAAAACTTTTGTAATGCCGGTACAACTATTTAATGTAAAGTTACAATGTAACGTAAAATTTAGAGTCTGTAGATTAATGCAGGCCGATGTCGATCAATCAGCTCGAATTACAGTTATTCATTCTAGGACAACTGAATTAACACATGATTAAGAAAAAAAAACAATAACACAAGAATCATTTTGAGTTAGAATTTGAAATCAGAGTCAGAATTATTAGCCATTTCCTTACGCGGCTAACCCACTTGATCACTCATTCATTTAATCGAGCATTGATACTAATAAACAAGTGTTAACAATATGCTTAATAAAAACAAATTTGTTAAAATTTTTAAAATTTTTAACACTTAGTATAAGATGCCTTTATGAGCTTTTTGAAACTATTACTTATAAGTAAAGTTGGCAGGTAGGGTTTTTCGGATCAGACAAATAATTTAAAATAAAGCCGAGTATAGAGAATTCTCCTTATTGCAACAGCAATGATTGATATAATCACTACTACAGTATTAAAATTAAAGCGAATAAAATTAAATCCTTGCAATTAAATTATACAAAATATAATTAAATCCTTACAATTAAATTATACAAAATATAATTACGATATAGTATTTTATTCTTGCTTTGATGTATAATGAATTTAAAGTACGTATCGATCATTTCATTTCAAACCTTAAATCGGGTTAAGTACTGTCATAGGCGATCAGGAATTATTTTTTTCACAACAGTTACGTAAAATGGTCTCGATTTAGGATTGAAATGAAATAATTGTCTGAAAAATTATTTAATATCGATATTGCAGCAAACATTTGAATCGGTAGGCTATGGGGAGCGATGAATCAGAGATCAATGGATCCGGTTATCATTGGCCACTGCTTATCCTTACCAACTGTTTCTTGAATAAGATCCGGGAATAACTACGCATATTGATTGACTAATTTTAATATAATACCGTAAAACGCTGTATAAGGTACCCGGGTATCTTACAATTCACACGATAAAAATTTGATTTGTACCCCGGTACAAATCAAGGGGATACCTTATACGGCGTTTTACGATATATCCTCCAAATACAATACCTGGTTCTTCACACAGTACCCACCTAAATCTGATTTGATTCTAAATCAACTTTATTTGATTTGATTCTAAATCAACTTTATTTGATTTGATTCTAAATCAACTTTATTTGATTTGATTCTAAATCAATTTTATTTGATTTGATTCTAAATCAACTTTATAATTTAATATGTGCGAAAAACTTATTAATTTCTTGTATCGATATTACTGTACTAGTGGAATTAAAATAAAAATCAAATTATAGTTAGATGATTATAATTATATGTTATTAAAATTAAACTACTATCAGATTTTGATAATATTCGAACGTTTTGTGTTTATTCTTTTTAACACCCAATTTCTTTATATTAATGACCAACCATAATTATTCCATCATCACCCATGACTTGCTTTACTTTACTGTTACCAATTTAATCATTAATATAATAAACTACGTTGTAGATCTGCAGCTTGAAGCGAAATTTGTTCCAATATTGTATTTACGTCAATCGGTAGTATTTTCACGTTAGTAAAAATATAGGGCAATTTAGGAATTTTAGGACATCCAAAGCAAATCTTTTTATTTTAGGATAATCCATCTTTACTTATAAGATATTGGATCATGCGACAATATCGATGTTATTGTGCAATTACGATCATGTTTTACAAGCCATTATTGGTTAACTGAGTTTTAATTCGAGATTGTTGTGCTTATGTAATAACGTACAAAAAAATAACAAGAAAAAAAATCCGAGTTTGCACGATAAATAAAAATATCCGGTATTGCTGTATTGTGCGTGGTAAGGATTTACTCAGTTCGGGACTTACGTTAGTCAACACGTCATAAATGACTAGTTATCATAGTTTATGACGTGAGTCAATATGGTTAAATCCTAACCACTTAACATCCGCACAATACAGCAATACCGGATATTTTTATGTAACACAAATGTTGGTTTTTATAATTTTTATAAAAAAAAAAAAAAAAAAAAAAATTTAGATGATTATCCCTATTTCTTAGCAGTTACGGCGTTATACTGTTATTAGTAGGTTCAGGGTTCGAGACTTAATGCCTGCGTAATTACGGTATTAGCCCGCTAATACTGTAGTATGGCAGTTTTCATTTCATAGAACGGACAACCATTAAGTTTCCCCGGAAACTCTAAAACCAGTAAGAGCGCTAAACGCGACATTTTTTTATTAAATTTGAGCATTTTTTGGCCTGAACTCTTCTAAATTCTGATCAAATTAAATTTTAATTTTAATTTAATTTTAATTTTGGGCAGAATTTAAAAAAGTTTGGGCCACAAAATGTCTGAAAATTTACTATTAACTCAACTCGTCTACGTATATAGATAATTTTAGGTAATTCAATAAAAGGTATTGTTAAAATCTTTACTTTAGCAAATAATTTGAAGAAAAAACTTCCCAGAATTACTCAGTAGGGCCGAAAGAAAGAAACAAACTGGATTCCATGTTATGTAAGTACTGAAATAAAAAAATTGGCTTTGTTTGGCCTAAACATAAAAAAAAACGGAGTGTTAAGCTTCAACGAATTAAGTAGTGTAATGTTATTGACTATTGCTATAGAGTATATAGCGCGATGCAACTTGACTTTTGTTCGTTATTTTGTTAATTTCCGGGTTTACACCATATATATACTATACTATACACATAAATAATGGTTTTTTTAAACTTATCTACATACAGATATATATATATATATTATATAATTAAAATGATTATCTAGATATACTGTACGTACGTACTTACAGTACAGAACTCATTAAGATATGCTTACAAAAATCATGTGTATGCCATTACTAGTTCTAATAACAATCAGGTTTAGAGGTAGCTTTTATAAACTAATAATTTGGGGTTTATAATAATTATATATTAATTAATATGTTGGTGCATTTAATTAGTCTAACAATCAGTCCGTCCAGTTCATACTAACAGCCCTGGGCCGTAGTCCGATCTAACTTTTTAAAAGACTAGACCCTAGTTTAGATTACTTTTTTGCTTATGCCTATTCAACGCTATAATTTTCTTTTTTTCTCAAGTATGCTGCGGTAGGGTTTGACTTGACTGGTTCACGATGGTACGTGATCACAGGTCACGAAATTCACACTTTGATTACTTATTTAGCAAGATACAGAAGATAGATCTTAATATATGTAATTATATATATATAAATTGTAAAAATTACGCAGATATTTTTAGAACTTCGTACAACATAGCATTATTCTCAAGGCTAATCACAAATGTATTAAGCCATATTTATGGTATATTGTAATTTTGTACGTTATCTGTTTCTTGCTAAATAAAGTAACCGGAGTGTGTATTTGTCAAAAAATATGCCCAAGTATATTGTAAAGGCCACGCTTTATTTGATCTAAACTATTTTAGGTAAAAGATGAAAAAAGGCGAAAAAAAAACGTGTTAGTTGTACGTACTAGGTTGGAGAACACGCACCACGATTTATCAGATCAGCTGGAATTTTTCTGATATAAAATGACGTATACACGTACGTACGTAAAGTACACACAAATAGTACACACATAAAGATATTATTCAAAAAATGCAGAACTTTGACGTAGAAACACTCGTATTTGTCTGTTATAATTTGCGGCCATCAGATCTTCTTTCGATGGCATGCGTGTGCAAATATTTCAACCGTGTTTTAAATGAACATATCAGTCCAGTAGCAGAATTAATATGGGAAAATTCTAGAGACAAGTTTACAATTTTTAAAGACCAAGACCCACCGGAAGCAATGACCCAAAAAACCTTTGCAAAGTTATTAACATTTGAAAAAGGTTGCCAGTTTTGTAAAACTAAAGAGGAAACGTTGACAGTCTACTGGATCCCAGGTGTTCGCTCCTGTTTTGAATGTATGGTCCCAGGAGTTATTTGGTAAATTAATTTACTATTTTAAACACATATATATTTTTTTATAATAATTTGAATCCGAATAAAATTTTATTAATCATATTTAATAGTCTTGATATACTCCAATCAACTTTTAAACTCAATGATGAAGTTCTTGGACTTGTATTACCAGTAACACCAAGTTTATCAGAATCTCCACATTATTGGATCGACCAGGTTAATAATACTATCGCGCATCTTATGGATGCTGATGATAATAAGCTATGCGAGATAAATAACTTAAGAATTGGTATGGGAGATAAATGTAGAGAAGTCCAATACTATGAAAGATGGATGTCCAAATTACGTAAAACCCACCTTAGAAAACTTCTTTCAAGATTCCACGCCGAAATTAAGGAAGAAACTTTATTCGAAGTGCAGGAAGATTATGAATACAAAACATTGAAGAACGAAATAGAAACTAATCCTTTTTTGGTACAGGATTATGGTCCACAATTCGAACAATATAAATCAAGGATTTTACAAATTGCACGAAGAATTACAGAGAACAAGATAATTCAAACCCAAAAATTAGTCATAAAATATCTAAAAAGATTAACATATGGTTCTAAGAGAAATTCACCAAAACAAACTTTAAGTATTCGGGACAGAAGATATCGATATTTTTCTTTATGTAATAGCTTTCGCAATCCACCGGATATAATAAACGATGATCAATTTTTAACAAATCTTTTGAGAGAAGCAGAACAATTGGACGCGTCAGGAACTGTAGTTCCAAATTTTCTCGAAGTTGATGGTGCGCTAAAAGTTGGAACTTTAGGTACAAGGCCGGTCTTTCAATGTTGCATTTGCAACGATCATAAGTTTTTTAGTAAGAACCAAATCAGAAAACATTTTAGAATTCATGGCAACTTTAGTAATGTAAAAGTGAATATTAACGCGGTAATAAAGAACCTCCATAATATTTTTTTTTAATTCAGGTAATATAATGGTCGGGGTATCAGTGCCTAAAATATTATAAAATTTCTGCGATTTTCATATTAATTTTAGATTTAGATTTATCCTATTAATAACTTTAATAAAATTCCGGATACATCTATTATCATGATAGTTTTCTCAAAACGAATTTATATTCTCTACTAACCTTCTATATTTATGAAAGAAATTTGTTACTTTACCTCTCTCAAAAATCTCTTTCGTATTTGTGCTATGTGGTTTACCCAAAGATATTGTTACGTAGTATGAACTCAAACAAGCTAGATATCTATAATATTTTTATCAATCTAACTAGAATTAGATTCTTACACGCGCTGTTGCGTCTTTTAAATTTTAAAGGAAATAATTTCGAAGATCCGTGAGCGTTCTGATATTCCGGAGAACAATAAAAAGCCATTACATGCGTTACTATCTTGCTTTGTTTTAATCGACTACTGAAAGTTAGCCTAAGATAAAATGCACGTACGTATGAATGTACGCACTTATATGACATTTCGGATAGTTTTGTGTGACAATGTATTGTTTAAACAACAAGTAATGATCTGCTTATCTATTACAAAATCGAATTTACTAGTGGATTCCTTTATGTCAAGAAAATCCCGGGCTAAGGATCTACAAAAATTAGGCTCGGAGCCAATAAAAATTGCAGGATCTTGCAGA